TGAGAACAAATTTTTAAATTTTATTTATTTTTTGCAAAAAATATGTATTATTATATATTTTAGAATGAATTGCTACTTGTGCGATTTACATGTGTTATATTATAGTAATTTTTATAACTTATCTTATATAACTACGTGAAATATAAATATATTAATAGATAAATAATTTTATTTTTTTTAATTAATATTAAAATTTTATTATTGTTATAAAGGACCCAATACTTCATAAACAGAACAAGCACATTCGAGTGAAATATCATTTTGTCTGAAAATCTGCAGAGAAGGGCTCGAGTAATGTCGAGTTCATCAAGAGCGAAGAACAACTGGGCGACATTCTGACAAAGCCGCTTGGGAGGACCAAGTTCCATGAGCGGCACTCTAATATATGTCTGATCAATGTTTGTAATGTGCACAAGGCTTGGGAGAAAATTTTAGTAAATATTTATTGTAGGATACAAACGTTGTACACCTAAATTAGTTTATTTGATTTCCTTAGTTGTTGTCCTAGATTAATTATGGATATTCACATGGTTATAGTTTCCTTATAATCTTGATTTGTAGGTCTTATTTAGCTCCTTGCAATCCTCTACTTGAGCAACAGAATAGCACAAGAAAAACTATTAATTCAACAACACCAAAACAAAATCGCGTTCTTTTGTATTCGCGTGAGTTTATTTTGTGTCTTGTATTTTGGCCGTGATCTCGTCGACAATCGAATGTTGTCTCTCTGATGTAGCGCAGCGTCGAACAAAAGGGGACAAAGAGATGAAATCTCCCAAACAGTAATTTTATTTCACGATAATCTGATTTTCATAAGAGAGAAGAAGGGAATAAATAGTTTCCAAATCTTAGGTTTCCTAAACATCCTAAATAAGGGAATAATACTTAAATAAATATTAAATAAAACATGGAATAATAATAAAAGCTAGAAAATAAATAACTAGACTAAAGAAGACATCCGGTCGTATTTCTGCATAAACGCCAATGCGATCTCGTCTCCATCATCCTCCCTCGGTTGGGAAGGATTCGCCCTCGAATCCGGATCGATCTCGTCTTCGTCCGAATTATCACCCGCAAATGGCACGAGATGCTTAACATTGAACACATCAGAGGTCCTCAAGTGCGAAGGAAGCCGTAGGCGATAGGCATTTGGATTGATCTTCTCAATGATCTCAACCGGGCCAATCTTACGAGCCGATAACTTGTTGTAGTCATGCGCCGAGAAACGGTCCTTGGTGAGGACAGCCCACACAAAATCCCCGACCTCGAACTCGACGTGACGGCGACGGGAATCTGCACGCCGCTTATACGCCGCCGTGACCTCCACCAGACGCGCCCGGGCCGCTTCCTGAGTCCGCCGGAGATCGACCATGAAGTCCTCGGCACGGCGGTCTGCGCTCTCAGACGAAGGAAGGGCGATGAGGTCTGCGGCCCCACGTGGCCGCGCCGCGTAGACCACCTCAAAAGGAGAGAACCCGGTAGCTTGACTCAAAGCCGAATTGTGAGCAAACTCGGCCTGGCCCAACTTCTGATCCCAACTACGTAAGTTCTCCCCCACGAGACAACGCAACAAATTCCCGAGGGAACGATTCACGACCTCCGTCTGCCCGTCAGTCTGTGGATGGTAAGCACTACTGAATTCCAATTTCGTGTCAGCCAAGCGCCATAAACTACGCCAAAAATGGCTAAGAAAGCGCGTGTCGCGGTCCGAAACAATAGAAGTGGGAAGACCATGCAAATGATACACCTCGCGAAAGAAAAGCTGAGCCACATGGACGGCATCAGCCGTCCGTTTGCACGGAATGAAATGGACCATCTTTGAAAAGCGATCGACCACCACAAAGATAGAGTCGTGACCCCGCTGAGTCCGGGGCAGACCCAACACGAAGTCCATGCTAATGGCACTCCACGGACGAGAGGGAATAGGCAATGGCCGGTAAATCCCGGCGTTAGAAGCCACGCCCTTGGACACCTGACAAACACGACACCGCTCCACAAAACGAGAAACATCACGACGTAAAGAAGGCCAGAAAAAGGAACGACGTACCAAGGCGATGGAGCGATCACGCCCCACGTGCCCAACGCCATGCAAATCAGCCACAACCTTAAGGCGAAGGCTACAAGCAGGAACACACAACTGAACCCCACGAAACAAAAAACCATCAGAGAGCGTATAATCCTCAAAAGGGCCCGAGGAAAGACGCGACACCACGGGCCAGAAGAAAACATCCGAAGCATAAAGATCACGCAACAAGTCAAAACCGACAATCGCAACCCGCATGTCCATAAGCAATAACGAACGGCGGCTCAACGCATCCGCCACGCGGTTAGACGCCCCTGAACGATGCTTGAGGACGAAAGTAAACTGCTGCAAATAAGAAGTCCAAGTCACATGGCGGGCTGAAATGTTGTCCTGAGACGAGAGATGGCGCAAAGCCTCGTGGTCGGTAAAAAGAATAAACTCGCGCTGAAAGAGATAGTGGCGCCAATGTCGAACAACACGGTAAACAGCGTAGAACTCAACATCATAGGTGCTGTAACGGAGGCAAGGTCCCGAGATTTTCTCGCTGAAGAAGGCCACGGGCCGCCCACTCTGACTAAGAACCGCGCCGATGCCCACCTTAGACGCATCACAAGAAAGCTCGAAGGGAACAGAGAAGTCGGGCAGAGCCAGAACCGGAGCGGAGGTAAGCTTGCCTTTAATAAGGTCGAAAGCCGCCGCTGCCTGAGGCGTCCAAGTGAACGTCTTGCCATGAAGGCAATCCGTAATAGGTGCAGTAATGGAGCTGAAGTGAGAGATGAAACGACGGTAGAAGGAGGCAAGCCCGTGGAAGCTGCGAGCCTCCGTGAAAGAAGTCGGCGTGGGACAGTCGCGAATGGAAGCGACCTTGCTATCATCCACCCGAATGCCGTCAGCAGAAATAAAGAATCCCAAGAAAAGAACAGAGTCGACGACAAAAAAACACTTACCGAGCGCTGCATAAAAATGCTCCGCCCGCAAAATCTGAAGAACCGAGCGAACATGAGACAAGTGGTCCTCCACAGTCCGACTAAAGATGAGAATATCGTCGAAATAGACGACGACACAATGCCCAATGAGGTCCCGTAAAGCCTGGTTCATCACTCGCATGAAAGTACTGGGGGCATTCGAAAGACCGAATGGCATCACAAGCCACTCAAAAAGACTCTCACGAATCTTAAAAGTTGTTTTCCACTCATCGCCCGGTCGTATGCGAATCTGATGATAGCCACTTCGGAGGTCCAACTTGGTAAAGACGGTAGCACCATGCAATTGGTCCAACAGATCATCAAGTCGGGGAATAGGAAAATGATAACGAACCGTGATTTTGTTAATGGCCCGACTATCAACACACATACGCCATGAACTGTCCTTCTTCGGAATGAGGAGGGCCGGGACAGCACACGGGCTCAACCTACGGCGGACAACACTACGCTGCAAAAGGTCCTCCACCTGGCGACGCAACTCCTCATGTTCTGCCGGGCTCATGCGATAATGGGGACGGTTAGGCAGAGAAGCCCCGGGGACCAAATCAATCTGGTGCTGGATGTCTCGAAGAGGTGGAAGACCTGCCGGTAGCTCCGCCGGGAAAACATCCGAGAACTCATCAAGTAATTGCTGAATAACGGGGGGAGGCGACCCCTCGGTACCTAAGTCGATCCCCAGAAGCAAAAGCACAAAAGGCGAGTTCTGCATTTCACTGACAAAAGCTGCACGAGATAAAAAAAGAACCGACGAAGAAGGATCAGTAGACAAAGTACGAGGAGGGGAAAGATGGAGTACCAAACGAGTGCCCTCAAACAAAAAGCTGTAAGTGTTCTGGCGCCCGTCACAGACGACCGCACGGTCGAACTGCCAAGGACGGCCCAACAAAAGATGGCAAGCGTCTATAGGGACTACGTCACACCACACCGTGTCCCGAAACTTAGGGCCGATGGAAAATTGCACCAAAACCCGACGGCCTCTTGAGCCACCACATTCTCACACAAACCGGTGTCGATGATGAAACTACACACCTTACCACCCACCGTGCAAGTGGACTCGAAAAGATTATGGCGTTGGAGAGAGTCCTCGGGAGTAGCTCGGGGCGAGAAACACGAACGGCAAAGGACCAAGGCCGGGCCCACATCTCCCAATAAATGCTCCTCCAAAGGCTCGGGCTCCTCGTCAAACACCAGAGGCCCGTCATACACAACCCCAGTAGCACCCTCAACCTCACAATCTGCCACCAAGGCCCGAGAACCACCCCGACGTAGACAAGTCGAAAGCCGATGATCGGCCTCACCGCAGGAAAAACACCGTGGCCCACCACCCGATCGCGAAACCTCTTGAGCCTGCGACGGACCAAATCCAGCCGCCGTAGAGGACGACCCACCACCTGCGGAAAAGCTGGAAGAGCCAGCGCCCCGGTACGGCTGAGCTGCTGCCCCCACGAAGCCGCGGGCCGCGTTGAAGCCGCCGCTGAGGACGTCGGCAGGTACGAGCGCGACTGAAAGCCCACCGGCGGGACTGGCCGACCTCGCTGTTGTTGCTCGATGAGCAAAGCCCGGTGATGAGCGGCCGAAACACTCTCAGGCACGAACATATTCAACATGTCGCGTATGCCAACCCGGAATCTGCTAACATAACGTGAAACCAATTGAGCCTGTGTGTCACGTATCTTTACGCGGTTGAGAAGACGATAAAATCATGGGTATATTCATCTACGGACCGAGTACCCTGGCGTAAACTATGAAGCTGTTGGTACATAGTGTTGATATGGTTTTTGGTAAACCAAATTAAGCGATATTTATTAAGCATTTATACTCAGTAAGTTGGAGATTATGTTCGTACAAGAAGGAAAGCATCTTCAAGGATCCTAAAACAATAACGTGTCAAGGGAAACCGACATCTTCCTCACTCGAACTGACATTTTCCTCTTTCAAAACCGACATCGCATATCGGTTGCGACATGTCGGGTGCGACATATCGGTTAGGACATATCGATTAAGGATAATTGAACCGATATCTATGACTTGCCACGTCGACACTATAAGGCGGCACCAACTCAGCACAAATCATCATTACATCTGTCCAAGTGGCATGCTATCAAGATAAATGGCAAGAAACCGCCTTTGATCTTTCAAATGTAATGATTGCATTTCAGATAAATATTGTAAATTAATATAAAAGGAGAAAATAGATTCTCCAGCTAGACACGAGAAAAATAGACAAGAATATTCAATACACTTAGTTTTCTGAGACTCTCATACGTTCTTTGCTGATTCATTTAAAAATCTCAACGTAATATCCAATAACATATAGTTGTTAAAAACCATTTAACAACAATTTGGCGCTAGAGGAAGGGGCTCCCATCATGTTTTGAGGTTAACTTACGCTGTTATAGCCATTTCCGCGCTCGAAGTCACCATGTCGCAATCCGGTCGAGATCATACAGCTCATCCTGGCCTGAGTCAATCGACTAATCATTCCCCACGGCGTTCAACACCACCTCCTCCAGTTACGAATATCACGAACTTCCTTCAAAACCCAGAGTTTATTCAAGGTTTAACCTCTCTGATAACTCGAGCCATGCCCAGAAACTCGAGTACTGTGCCATTATCAACACCGTTTGCTACCAATCCAACGGAACATGCAAATCATACTCGTCATGACCCTGAAACACATGCGGCGACATCCCATGCTACGTCACAACCATGCCATACTTCTCCACGTCGAGAGGAGATAACTCGTATAACCGCTAACCCAGTAACGAACAACCAGGCCGCGGAGGAACCTCCTGTTCAGGAAATGACTGCTGAAAGCCACTCTGCTCATCATCAGCGAATTCCGTCACGTCCTATACCTACTTCACCGATGCCTCATGATCGTGAAGATTTACGGCGCCAGATTGAACGGAATCGTATCTCAAGACACAGTGCAGAGGAAATTGAAGTTCTCCGTAAATGCTTGGCCGAACTTGAGACTCAACAGAAGTCACAGGAAGATTCTCCCCGACATGTCTCGACGTCGAGAAATGTCATTATTGAAGCTGATTCACCTTTAGCTCCGGAACTTACCGCGGAAGCACTCCCTGCTAAGGTAAAAATCCCACAAATTGGCATGTATGATGGAACTTCGGACCCAGATGCGCACTTGGGTCATTATACGTCGTGGATGGATTTGCATGGAGCTTCAGATGCTTTGAGATGTCGGATGTTTTTGCTTACACTGGGGCCACGAGCACAGAAATGGTACTACACTCTTCCACCTCATTCAATTTGGAAGTGGCAACAATTACGTGCGGCTTTCCGATCACACTTCATCGGAGATCAAATTTGTCTCATCCCAAAAGAATCAATCACTAACATCGTGCAAAAGGACGATGAAACTGTTAAGGACTATGTGTCTCGGTTTAACGACCGAATTCAGAATATGGAGCCTTATCATCTTGAGACCCTGTTAGTGACCGCAATTGCTGGACTGAAGCCCACTCGATGTTTCGCTGGACCTTATGTCAGAACAAGCCGGCTACTTTTCAAGAATTCCTCGTACGGGCTCAACAATTCATCATCGCCGAGGAGTCGATGTCGGTCCCTAGTTTTGATTTCTCGGTAAAAGAGAGTAAGAGTGAATCAGACGCAAAAAAGAAGAATAAGAAAAATTTTGGGAAAGCGCAATATCGGAATTATTCAAAAGGATACGAAAATACTCCAGAATCCAGAGCTGCCCGAGACCAATATGCCGACAATTTGAGGACAGGCTATCAAACTGTTTATTCGGCCGGAGCAGCTACCATTTTTGAAGAGCTGAAAGGAAAAGGGATTATTCCTGATCCAAAACCAGTAAGAACTTCTGAAGACAAGCTAGACAAATCCCGATACTGTGCGTACCATAAATCTCCGGGACACAATACCGATGAGTGTATCGGCCTCTTATCAGCTCTCTTACGTTTGATCGGACAGCCCCAACTTCAAAAGTTCAGCAATTTCGACAATCATCGGAAAGGGAGGCCTGTGGATCTTTCTGACGAGGAAGAAGATGACAATCGACCCGCCAACCCGAAAAGAGCTCGCGCGAATGATAAGGAAGTTTTTACGTTTTCCACTCTTGCCGGTACTTCGACCGACAACTGCAAAAAATCCAGAACACATGACACATCAAACTCTTCATACTGCATACCTCGAGTTAACTCTAATACCAAACAGCTGGACACTTCTCGGCGGAAAGCCAAAGCCTATGATAGGTAGGCACAAAATGCCGAGAAACGAGTCATGAACGTTAATCTTCGAGATACCACTAATAAGCGGAATTGTCCTATCACGTTCAGTATTGAAGATGCCAATCTGTTCGCTCATCCCCATTCTGATGCCCTTATCATTACTGCCCCGATTGGAGGAATTCTCGTTCATCGAATCATGGTTGATACAGGAGCTTATTCAAGCATCTTAATGTTCCGTACTTTCAAGAAACTGGGTTTGGATCCTGCAGACATCAGACCTTGTAACGACCAAATTCGAGGCTTCAATGGAAGTATATCTTGTCCTATCGGTGAGATAATGCTCCCTATACAATTTGGCGGCTTTGGACCAAAATCCAAAATCATCATGGAAACCTTCAAAGTCTTGGATGTTCAGAATGAGTACAATGCTGTTGTAGGACGAACTGCACTTTAAAAACTCCGCGCTGCTGTGTCAATTTTTCATTACGCCTTGAAGTTCCCTACCATTGAAGGAGAAGGCACTCATTACGGATATCAACGAGAAGCCCGAAGTCTGACGTTGCTCTCAACCTCGCGTAACTTTCATATGTTGGAAGAACAAAAGACTGATAAGTCCATTGAGTTGAAAAATCCAACCCTTCCTGATGTTCAAAGGACTAATCAATTTATTTCAGACACCGACATCTCTCTTGTAGCTGATACCGATGTCCCTGTGACGTCGGATTTGTCTGAGACACTAAATGAAGCCCTTGATCGAGGACAACCTTTTCATGAGAAAGACATAGGAGTACATGAAGATATGGATCCACGGACGCAATTCAAAGATAAGAATCATCATGTCCGAGCGGAACCAGTCGAAGACGTCGAAACTATTTACGTGGACGGGTTGACTCAGGAAAAGTCATTGCGCATTGGAGCTAGCCTTCAAGAACCCACACGTTCGTGCTTAATTCAATTTCTTCAGTCAAATTATGACGTATTCGCCTGGAAGCACGAAGACATGAAAGGAATAGATCCGAAGAAAGCATGTCATCGCTTAAATTTGGATAAGACCGTCAAGCCCGTTATACAGAAACGCCGAAAATTCGGCCCAGATCGCCAGAAGGCTCTTGAAGAGGAAGTGAACAAGCTTATAGACAACAAGTTCGTTAAAGAAGCCAAATATCCGACGTGGATATCAAATCCTGTCTTGGTTAAGAAAACTACCGGTCTTTGGCGTCTATGCATTGATTTCTCGGATTTGAACCAAGCATGCCCGAAAGATAGCTATCCAATTCCACACATTGATTACATGGTAGACGCTACATCGGGACACCAACTCATGAGTTTTTTGGACGCCTATTCCGGTTACAATCAAATTCCCATGCACCCTGACGATGCTGAACATACTTCGTTTTATTCAGCCCGTGGTCTTTATTGTTATGTCATGATGACTTTCGGATTAAAAAATGCTGGGGCTACATATCAAAGGTTGGTCAATAAGATGTTCGCACGCTTGATCGGCCATACAATGGAAGTCTACGTGGACGACATGCTGGTGAAATCAGAACAAGCCTCTGATCATATTGCTCATCTTTCAGAAGTCTTTGACATTCTTCGAGAATATTCAATGGTGCTTAATCCCAAGAAGTGCACCTTTGGAGTTGGGTCAGGGGAATTTTTAGGATACATGGTAAGTCAAAGAGGAATCAAAGCTAATCCCGCCAAAATTCGAGCCATACTTGAATTGGCTCCCCCGACATCTATCAAAGGTGTCCAAGCTTTAACTAGTCGACTGAAAGCTCTAAACCGATTCATTTCAAAGTCGACGGATCACTGTAAGCCGTTCTTTGACGCTATCAGAAAGAAGAAGTCGTTCGAATGGACTGTGGAATGTCAGAATGCTTTTGACAACATCAAAGAAGTTCTTTCACGATTACCGACGTTGCAAAAACCTCTTCCTGATGAACCTTTGTATTTGTACTTGGGTGTAAGTGACGTTGCTGTTAGTGCTGTTCTTATACGACAAGATGGACTTCAGCAGTTCCCGATATATTACATTAGCAAGGCCTTACATGACGCTGAATTGCGATATCCGTATATGGAGAAGTTAGCCTTTGCTCTGATCATTGCTGCACGAAAGCTGCGCCCATATTTTCTGGAGCATTCTGTTATTGTGTGCACATCATATCCTCTTCGACAAGTTCTCCACCGACCTGACACGTCGGGAAGAATGATTAAGTGGGCAATAGAACTGGGACAGTTTGACATTCAGTACCGACCACGAACTGCCATCAAAGCCCAAGTGTTATCTGACTTCATAGCAGAGTTTACCCCAATCGTCAGCACATCTATTGAAGATCCGACATGGACTCTTTACATCGATGGATCGTCCACCGCTATACGAGCTGGAGGAGTAATTGTTTTAGTTAGTCCTGATCAACAAGTGTTTTGTTACTCTGTAGCATTCACTTTTCCAGCCACCAACAATGAAGCTGAATATGAGGCCCTCTTATCAGGCCTACACTTTGCTGAATCCATGAATGTTTCCTCTCTCCGAATATTTTCTGACTCTCAGTTACTAATCAGCCATATTAATGGCACTTACAAAGTTAAGGAACCACGATTGTTGCCTTATTTTGATCTCGTCAAGAAGAAGCTATCACGGTTCAAAATAACATTAGAACATATACCTCGGTCATCTAATATTCAAGCAGATGCTCTTTCTCGTTTGGCCTCTTCAACCAATTTGAACAATGTCGAGTTTGTGCAAATTACTCAACAGGCGACCTCCTCAACAGTTTCTACTGACGTCGTCATGATCGATGCTGCTTTACCAATCCCAGACCCGACATGGATGGATCCAATCATCAACTACCTTCAAACTGGGGCCGTACCCGAAGACCCAAAGGAAGCTCGCACCCTTCGTGTTCGTGTTGCTCATTTCACAATTGATCAAGAAACATTATATAAGCGTGGATATTCCACTCCATTGCTCAAGTGCTTGTCGGAAATTGACGCCCGATGTGTTCTTCAAGAAGTACATGAAGGAGTTTGTGGTACCCATCAAGGAGCACAAGCTTTATCCC